TATTTCTTTGTATGGCTTAGAATTTTTCCTGCACTAAATCTAGCTTAATTGCTCAGGAAAATTGTAATTTCCCCCTCTAAACACCGAAGTGTTTTGATATAACAAACATTTTTTCAGCTTTTAGAGAGACATGCGTCGATTAAATTAACAATGTTTTATAAATATTCTTAGTGATGCCTTGTGTCCACACCCAAAAAGTCCTTTGTAAAGAAGTAAAAGAGGAGGAAAAGAGAACCACTATAATGTGTTGATTCATTTTTCTTCGCTAGAGCAATTTTACCACCTATGCTTTAATCACCAAAACAAAACAGGCCGTTACGCCAAGTCTTTGCTTGACATACACAAGGTAAGATAAGATAACGGTACCAAACGTAGGAATTCGGAAAGCGACTATTTAGCCAAAGAGACGGTTTCTTTCAAAGCGGTCTCCTCGTGAGTGTCAACAGAAATTACCTGCTCGCTTTTTGCATCAACCTCAACAGACACCACATCGGTTGTTTTAGTATCAATTGGGGTAGCCTGGGTATCAATCGCGACTGTTTCTGGTAGCGGAGAAGCCGTTGAGCAAGCCGCTTCACTACGGTCGGAGCTTGGCAGAGGGGAAGGGCTTGGCTGATGAACGATAACGTTGACCGAATAATTCAGAATGGTTTCTTTCGGTTCATCTTTGCCATACGTATACGTTTTGGTAACGGGGCCCTCAGTTGACAAGGTGACAGATGTGTTTTCTTTAGTTTCTTTACGGTCGCCATTGACATATTTGCCACACATCTTACTCACCCCGCAAGGAACAATTTCTGAAGGGTCAGAGGCGTCTGACTCACACATGTACAGACTGTCGTGATCGCGAAGGTGCCCCTCGGCATACGGTGTGATGTCATCATCTTCGACATCGTACGTTATAGCGTACGGGGCAATCTGTTCACCTGAGGAGCCGGCGTTCGCGACTGTATCGCCGTATGCTACAGCATAAGGGACGATCGCGCTTGATCCAGAAGGCAAGCGTGCCAAGCCTTCTCTGGGCCCCGGGGCTCCCTCTACTGAATAGTTTTCTCGAGCATTTTGTCTGGCCACCCGGTGAACCTCTGTGGAGTACCTCCACGCTATCCTCGTGAGCACCATCAATATGACAGCTAAAGATGACAACACAATCGTCCATAGAGACTTGGATGTGGGTAACGGTTGTGTGTGTGCTGTTGGTTGTAGTAAGTGTGTCAGTATTGGCTCTGTGTGGGTTGTTGGTTGTGTGTGGATTGTTGGTTGTGTCAGTAATGGAGTATGAGGCCGTGAGAAGTGTAAGCTCGTCCCGAAGTATGCAGTGTAGGAGCCGATTTCTGAGACAACGGTACAACTGAAGTTTGTGAAAGTCACGTTTTCGACAGTCCTCAGCCAAAGGGTGAATGTCGACTTCCCCATGTAGTTGGAACACGATTCATACTTCCTGGATCCTGCCTTACTTTCTGACCCTTTGCATTTCACCCAACCCTCAGCCTTTATGTAAGTCACCACACTAACAGTTAGGTTTCCTATTCCCACACTAACGTGCGCCGTTGTGTTTGTGTTGTGTGTTATGTTCATTGAATATTCTGACCCGTTGGCAAAGGTCCAGAACACGTGGGGCAGGTCCTCCCAGTACACATTACCAAAGGCCTTGTATACTTGGGGATGCTGATTTCGCTCTACATTTACAATTTCAACAAGAAGCCATAGGCGACAATTCTCCGTGAAGTATTATATATTGCAACAAAAAGAAGTAGCCATTGGCGACAATTCTCTGTGAAGTGTGATAAATCGAACAAAGAAAAATTGTTTAAACGCGCGTCGGCTCAGTCATCTTAAGACGCAACAACCAATCAGAGATGCGAGATGCCTACACGTGACGCGGGAAGGGCGCGCGATGCCCGAAATATTTTTGCGTCAATATTCAGCGCCGTGATTCAAGAGATTAATACCCGGAAACAATTTTTTTCTTGTTTTGAACGCATTAACATGCATTTACGCTAATCTAGTATGATTCCGGGTTACTTTTTTTTAACCTGCCATGGCCAGATTATCTAAAGATGTGTGTATTGTGTGTACAATCTATAGAAAGAGAAATGTACATCAGGTCCGATCATCCGATTTTCACGTTTCGGTTTTTTGGACTCGGTTCATGAACGTATTTTGGTTTGGCTCCTGGAATGTGCAAAAAAATGACTCCCGGGACTGTCTACAGGGAACACTCGCACATTCGCGGTGTATCAGGACAGCGCGACTGGTCGTCATTAGCGCAGTAACAGTTGCATAAACGGACGAAACCATTTCAAAGAAATGGGGATGTTTCGAAAATAAGCATTTACTCCAATATCAAAACAGCTACGGTAAAAATAAAAAGACGTGCATCATCCCGGACATAATGCAACACCACATGCGAAATTACACAGAAATGCGACGTACGGAAGAATGCGTTTTGGCTGCGAACATCTTCCAAAAAACTTGGCATCTCTTAACCATGGGCAAAAACATCTGGAACCACTTATAAAAACCACCCCGTATCTGCATGAACTTTTTTGAACCCCACTGCTATTCCAAACAACGCGTTTTTCTGGACCATTCCAATTCGCCTCGTAATTGTAGGGGTGCGTCTGCGATATTACATTGACCGCGAAAGCAGCAACGGCAAAAATACACATTCGTGCATCAACACGGGCATGCCCGCAGACGGCGTATAAAATTGCGTGCCGATTACACAAAGAGAACCCAGTGTTTTGACTGCGAACATGAAAAATCAGCCGATTACAACACTCCGTCCGGAGGTCCTGACCTCCTTCACGGAGTAACAAATGGTGCCGGGCAAGGCAGAGCGCTGGTATTAACCGCCACAGGAGGGGTCCTTAGCAAGGATATGGCGGGACACCCCGTTTGTATGGAGATCATAAAACGCGAAGGGGGACACCATTTCTGGACCGTCCACATTAGTTCATACAACCCAATGTTCGCACACGTACAGCGCAATGGGTTGTTTGGCACGAAAAAATGCAACAATCTAGATGCGTGGAAGACAGCAGCAATGGCATTTCCCTTCACATTCACTTGAGTATGAGACATGCCCGGCGCAAACCAAAGCCCTGACAGAAAGGTCAGCTTGTTTCCGGAGAGGACTATCCTCTGCAGTAGCTTGTTTGAGAGGAACGCCCCGTCTGCAATGCTAGAGATTTCGTTATGCTGCAAGTACAACAGCCGCAACTGTTCAAGCTCAGCAAACATGCCGACACTGACTGACTGCAGCTTGTTCTTAACGAAGTAGATGTATCGTACAGGACCGGCGTCGTCTAGTACACCAGGCGCGATGTGAGAGATAGAATTCATACTTACGTCCAGCCATTCCGACTGTAGTCCACGTAGCATACCGACTGGCATCGTCAGGATTTGGTTCTCTACCAGATAGAGGTAGCCAAGGTCGGGCAAACCGTCAAAGGTACCAGCCTGTAATAAAAGGTGGTGTCCTTAGACCATTTGTTCGCTACCAATTGATAACAAGTGCTCAAGCGTACTTAGCCAGCCAGTCAAGTTTGTTCTGTGCGGTGCTTGTTTAGAGGTATTTCTGTGTATCTGCAAGAGCAGCGATGATTGGTTGACAGAGATGTGAGTGGTAGGATGTGTCGCCATGACTGTGTAATCACAGTATGAGACTTCCGCAACATGTTGTAATTATTATACTTTCTCAACCATACAAGCAATAATCCATTCAATGATGTAATTTAGTCAGGTATTTTCCCATAATCATCGTTTACAAATATGTGTGTGTAATCTTACCTCCAGACAGGTGATGTTGTTGCCCAACAACAGCAGTTGCTTGAGACCGCCCATCCCGTCAAACGTGCCGCTTTTTAGGGTCTGAAGGTTGCTCCGCCAGATGACCAAGGTCTGCACATGTGAAAGCTTAGCAAACGCCCCTGCCTCTATGGTCGTTATGTTACAGTTTACGAGCCATACGCGGCAGTATTTACCACAAGGCAAATCTGAGAGAGCACCGATGTCACCTGAACTCATGGTACCAACGTTGTGATCGACTATCAAAAGGTTTGTAATGTCCAGTTGAGAGGGACTCAGGGTTGCACTCAGGACTTCACCTGTGACAGAACTACCTGGCACGCTTTTGTTACCAGTGCAGTTGTAGCAAGATATAAAAGCTTGGCCAAAACCGATATTGGTGAAAGGTCCCGCGTATGAGAACCGTCGAACTGATAATGATGAAAAATCAGGATCTCTGGAACCATACCAACCAATATCATAGCGGTACTTTGGACCACCTCTTCGACTGTCACCAACGCTGCATCTCTCCCCTGATACCTTCTGACAGTGTTGCCAGTCCCCTGCCTCTACATACGGCACTACCAGGCGTACAGCCAACACTAGGTACAACTTCACCACCCACCTTACAGCCATAATGGCAACAGCAGATTCTCTTCACTACTACATGGTCCTACATGTATTCCCAATACTTCCACGATGGATTGAACGAACGATTGGGTATCGTTTGATGATCCCCTACTTTGCACGGACTTATCCTACTGTACCTGTACCACCGTAATGTCCAACCAAGATTTGCGACCGGTAAGCCTGAGAATAGAGCAATCTTGACTATCCATTACTATTAACCAGTTCAACCAATGAGGAAATAGCAGTCTGCTGAATATGTCTGCAGTCGTTTGAAGTGCTTTTTTGTGTGTGTACAACCGGTGATTACCTTTTTTGAAGTAGAAAATTACTTTCTGACCTAGATTACTAAGCAACATTATTTGTCTGTTGTGTGGTTCTTTGAAGTGTTAGTCTGCTTGATCACTTTGTGTATGGTGTGCGGCACTGATGATACGTCGGTTAGACTACATTTTACGTACAGGTCATCGATACTACGCTCTACTTGTATAAATTGAACAGCTTTTAGGAATGAAAAGTATTATATAAAAGACATTTTACTGCTAGTAGAAGACGCTCTACCTTAGTTTATCACCTGTTAGAATCCAGAAGTGGCATCCATCTGTATGATTATTCCATTCTCAGTCCTTCTGCCCTGCTGCCATAGTCATCATACCCTTCGGTTAGGCCACACTGACTTTATTTTATGGATGACATCCGCGCGCTCATTGATTTTTGCCTGTTCTTCTGTTTGGGGGTCTTCAGAGGATGTCATCCATAAAATTAAGGCGGTGTGGCCTTATACAAGACGAGTGACAAAAGTCCTCTTTGCTACAAAGGTATGGCTTCCACTTTTCACAGTATTTGGTACATTTTAGTATTGTCATCTTTAGTTCTTTCATGGGAAATTTAACAAAAATGAAGTTCAGACTGTAAACCACACACAGTGACTGCGAACCACCCTCCATGAAATCTGCAAGTCATATTGTACATCTTGTTAAATCATACATCAGTCTACAGGAGTTGTGTGGCACACTAAGTCTTATAACATGTACACATGTACATGTATTTACAACAAACACATACATACATATGTATCAGCTGTTACCAATCTGCACACAGTACACTACACAAAATACGTCAAACAGAAAGTTTCATGTATCTTCACATACACATTAGTTCAAAAACATCTCTTATCTCTCTATACAGACAACTTTAGAAACACAAACTCTTGTGCAAATGTACACCTTCTAAGTATTGTCTACAACACTTACAAACAGAAGAGTATCCTTAAATACAAAGTAATTACTTCAGTCTTCTGCTAAAGAACTCTTCAGACTTGATTGGTCCATTTCTTCAGATATGAATTTTCATCTACATTCAAATGTAAGCCATAAAAATCTGTGAACCAAGTCACTGAATTAGCATTGTCTCACAAAAAATGTTGAATATTTCTGGGCTTGTTCCCCATCCAGATTTGCAGCTACATGGGATCACTGAGAAAAACACACCATCCCCTCAGCAAGAACAGACTTCAAAACTCTTTTGTTCATCAATCCAATAAGTGTACAATCTGACAGTAGAACCCATAATTTTTGTATACATATGTACATGTTTAAATTGCTGTCATAATGATTATAATTTGTAAATATCAATGCCATTCAAGCTACACTTGTGCTTTGTGTCGGCAATGTTGCTAAAGGATTGAACTGAAAAAGCAGCTGTTCCCTGGTGGTGTATCTCCTTGTTGTCAGGGTTAGACGACCACCTGAGCCTCGCTGACCGGCATGTTGATGTTCCCTGTGATGATCGGCATACTCTTCCCTTTCCTCAGCACAAACACCTGCACAATGGGACAGTGGACAACTTTACAAGACAAACTATAAAGAGAGAAAAAAGAAAGACATTCTCTTCAACCATGGTATGTTAGTAGTATAGTAACTGTTAATTGAGGTATTGAACTCACCTTAATAGTGTCAGCGATGGCCTTGTCACTTATGCATTCCACCAGGGTCTGAAAGGCATAGTTCAGGCCAGGGACCAGCAGTGGAACCTGGGAAACACAGAGGTTAGTCAGGAACAAGGTAAGACTGGGGACAAAATGGCTGTTGGTTACTCCAGACAAAACAGTCTTAGGCCACACCAAGTAAATTTTATGGATGACGTCCATGCGCGCTTTGATTTTGGCCTGTTCCTAGAAAAAAAAACAAGAAATTCCGCTTCCTGTAACTATGACCAAAGAGTCACGACAGTGCCGCAAATCGTCAGATTGATGTGAAACCCGTAATGCGAGAACAGGACAGGATGACAACTGCTATTCCACCTGATTTATTTCTGTTTTGATGATGAATAAAAGACTTCTTGCTTGTTACACTGTGTCACCTCATTCAATTTGTGTCCTAACATTTGTCATCTCCTAGTATATTTCTAATCTGGGCATCTTGTTTTTTAGGGCCCTTCTTGTTTTGTTTTTTCGCCCTCTCGCATTAGATTTAGGGTCTCCAAAGGACGTCATCCATAAAATTTACTTGGTGTGGCCTTAGCCATGTAAAATGGGATGGGACTGGTTGGCCTTAACAGGTGGTTTGCTAAGTGGCTTGCATGCCGCTTTGAGTTTTCAAGAATGATTAAAAAACAAACAAACAAACAAACCCTTAACCCTCTCACCTTGATGGATGACCTCTGCAGCTGGTATAACTTCTCGTCATACTGGAATGTGATGAGAAGGTTGATGGAGGGCGTGGCAGACGACGTGTTCTGTAGATTGACGGTCAGCTGAAAGGACGGACCTATCCCATTCACCTGGACATGCACAAAACCAGATACAGAGGTTAGATACCATATGTACAGAATATATAAAGGACTCTTTGTCAAACTACTGTAACATAAAAAGAATACATGATTATATAGTAATTTTAATGTAACCTTTGGATATTTGTCAAAAATATTCTGTCACAAAATGAGCAAATTCTAGTTGCAATCAGTCTCCAGAAGGTGTCACTGAAAGATCATACTTGTGTGTTGGCCGATTTGAGTAATTAATGAAAAGACAAAGGCTAAAATAAACAAAGAGATGAAGCTAGATGCACTCACAGTAGCTGACAGCTTGAGCGGCTCGAGGGGATCAGCTGACATGGGAGTCATACTGGTCTCCAGTGCCTTCACATAGGAACGGGCAGCGTCCAGTCTCAACCGGTACAAGTCACGCTGGAACATACGGTGCATGGCTGGAAAAACACAAAGGATGGAAATATTATTCATCATATCCAGTTGCTTGAGTAACTGCTTTTTGGCATATCGTATTACCTGGATGTCTAACCTTCATCGACGTATTCATAATTACTATTGATGTACAGAAACATAACCTCAACATCCTCTCAAAATGATGAAGTGAGCATGTAACAGGTGGTTGTCCTTCATGCCTGTGTTGATGGGGAAATTTTGGGACCATGAAGACCATGATAGCATTTAGAAGGGATTGCACCTCTAGGATTGCCTTAACTGGCAGTGATCTTGACAGTATGTGTAAAACTGCCATGATGTTACTTACTGACAGCATTTTCCCTCTCTCTCATAGTCTGGTCCACAAACAACTTGGTCTTCTTCGGAATGTTCAGTTTCTGGTTCTGAGCAGCAGGAGGGCCTGGTCGGGAATCTTTCTCCTCAAACACAGAATTCCGCTTCAAGATTTTTACAATCAAGCCTCCACCTGGAACAAGACAAATAGGAATATTAAAGCCACATCAATTTGTTGGTTCTCAGATTTTTTTCAGCGAAAAATATGAAACGACCAGACGAAAAAAATTCTATGGCAGACAAACAACTGCATCCCACTACTGCTAACGGTAGATGCACTGACCTTATTTTATAAAGTGCAAAGTAAATCTACATTTTGTTGTGTAATACTGGTATGTGAACTGATATTGATATACATGTACATGAATGGAATGTAATTATTATTCCATGACATTCCAATCCCACACTCAGGTACCTTTAGTGGTCATCACCAGTGCTCCATCTTCCCTGCCAAACCGACCGAACTTCATTCCTGTCACAATATCCTGGTGGACAGAAGGTGACAAAAGAATCAGATTAGAAAACATTTTAGGAAACAGATAAATTGGGCACAGCCACACAGCTAAATATATATTTTCTACAGAATCATTTTTTCTACTCTGTTCCTCAGTGACAATTCTCTAAACTTCTTTTATGACACTGATGTACCTCTGTTTTGATGGTGTTGACGAGGTACTTCTCGTTGTACACATGAACTTCACAGTTGTCCAGAGCGACCATGATGGCCTTGAAGCCCCGTGTCTTGTAGTCCATCAGCTCCATGGTCATGACATTGGCTGGGAGGGTCAGCACCCACAGACGTTTTCCCTGGACAGGGAAATATCATGTACATGTAACAGTTACTCAAGCAGCTCAAGAGATTTTTTAAATTGTAGCATGAGGGTCAAAAATGA